AGTTTCCACTACGCGTGTGATGGGTAGTCGTCTCCGGGGAAGCTTCGGTGTCCTCCGACATGCATAAACAACTTGTCCGTAGGGGACTGAGAACAACGCCTTGCAAATCACAATCCAATGCAGCAGAAGCAGCGGCGGCAGCAGCAGCAGGAGGAGCTTCTTGAATTTGAGCGCTACGCGACTAGTACGTAACGGTGCGGTGAACTTCTTTCGCACCGCACCGAGCCAACCGTGCTGACGCGAGGTGCGGCGGGGGTGGGACAAGGCCGAGTCTTTAAGTCGAGGACGCCCGGAATGAGATCCACAGACTCGAGACTCCTTTAACTACCGCGGTTTGTTGTCGACGGGACTTGGACTACGACTTTTAAAACAAACTACATCCACACTCATGGGGTGGTTATGGACGAATACAGTATCCATATGTACTATATATGCATGCAGTATATATACTATATATGAATACGGTATATATTTTTGTCATGCCAAAGACTCGAGTCGCCTTGTTGGCAAACAGCACAATGGGAATGAGAAAAACGAACTGCGCGAGATTTATTATTATTACTATACAATTTTTTTTGCTTCAACCGAACCTAGGGTATAGGATGGCAAAGAGGGGCCGGATGGAGGCCTCCTCGCTTGCCAAGGGTCACCTGGGTGGGGCCGTGTGCATGGTGGTGGTGGTGGAGGGGGTCCCGTGTGGACGATTCAGGCGTTAAACCCAAAATGGAAGCGTTGATCGAGGTGACATTTTTGGTCTCCGAAACGCCCCACGCCCATCATGGCGAGGTCCACAACTCGGCGTGACCCCGCTGATGATGCTGCTGCTGCGTGTCGGTGACGGCGAACCTGCGTCGTCGGGACCCGGTGCAGTGTTAATAAACCCCCGTTAGGCGGCGTTCGGGTTGCTTGACTGCGAACGAGTTGGGTTGTCTCTCTCTTGTTGAAGTCATCAGGCTTTCCCTTCGCGTGCCTAAGCACGCATGCAGAGCAGACGACTCCACCATTTGACGGGCGATGTACCCCGTTATTTCAACGAAGGTCCAAAAAAATTCAACCAATTTCCGGCCGTATCATTGTTAATATATCGGTTGTTATATCATTACAAACAAAACGTAGTTACTCTTTGGTTCTATTCGGTAAAGTCACGTAGGTAAAAAATAAAACAACAAAAAATCACGACGTTTCAGCCACAACACAAGCGGCCTTCATCAGGTGTTGTGGCCGAAACGTCGTGATTTTTTGTTGTTTTATTTTTTACCTACGTGACTTTACCGAATAGAACCAAAGAGTATGGATCCTTGCAGTCACGAAAGCTTTAAATCTAAAATGTAGTTAATGCGATTAAAGGGTGCTTCAAAGAAATGTTAACACTTCGGAGAATTTGCAACAACACCACCACGAGAAATGCGCTGCGTCCCGTGCTCTGGGGGGACCCCCTGGAGAAAATTCCAGGCCATGCGTTGCCAATGGCGAACAAGTGGAGACTAACTTTTTGAAGCTATGAACATTAATTTGTTATCATGTTACAGTGTATTATTATCCGTTATTTTTCCCCAATAACGATAGTCCCCATATAAGTTAACTTATTTTTTTTGAAGCACCCTGTATATACACAGAGGGGAAGGCGATATGAAGAGACCGCGTTAATTAGCACAAAGCACATCGGGCCCCCAAACGCACGAGGCAATTGTGGGACGCACAAAAAAACAGCGGCCAAGCGCAGCACCGGGTCTGGCGTCGAGCGTCACGTGGGTGGGGGGGGTCTCTGTGCAGCAAGCGACAGTAGGGAACCCAGCACAAGCCTTTATAAATGTTTGAGCTTCGAGTGAGCGATTTTTAAATGTGTTAAGGGTACTCTCAAACACGCTGCGGTAAAAGTACGGAATGTCTGCTCGATGTGATTTTTGAGGACACCCCTGTATGTATGTATTGGTTGTTGGACTTCTTTTGCACCGTACGTGGCCAACCGTGCTAATCGGCAGTGCGGGCGGGTCTTGCTTTCCAACCCAGGACGGGGGCAGCGAGCGACCCTCTCGGGCCGTGAAGGTCAAAAGGGGCCTTTGACCTCCGTGCAGTCTGCCCGTGGAATTTAAGTTATCGATTTGTGAATGGCCAATATTCACCCTAGTATTATTTTGCCTCCGCAATTAACATTATTTAAGCTTTTTAAATGACGCGGCGGTGTGGGGATGTCGTGGAGGACGCGCGCGCGCGTGCGTGTGTACAGTATTACATTATTTGTTGTTGCTGGGGAGCGGTGGGTAGTAGCGCTTTACGCTTCGAGCCCGCTACGAAGCAGATTTCGATTCACAGCCACAGGCCAAACGAGGCGTCGGTGGCGAGCGATACCAGCACCGATTCTGGGCCTCCCCTAGGTTGACTCAACCTCAGAGGAGTACTTGGTGCGGTGTGTAAATCATTTAGCACTGGAAAGACAAAGGCGGCCCGGTGGGGCCGTTCTGGCCTTCATGCAATTGGTGCTCGCTAACAGCGCTTGCTCCAACGGCCTATCAAAGATTATACGGGTGATATTTGTATTTGCACATTGTAATTACACGTGTGTACATTACATATGGATGTAATATATCGTGTATGCGTTTGCGCTGGCTGCATGTTTACCGAATGCCGAGTGCGGTGACGTCACAAAGCACTGGCACGTGTGTGGAGATTGTACCACGGCCACCACCAGCAACAATCCCACCACCCCGCTACGCCCCCACGTTACTTGGACTTGCCCACCAAACGGTGGAAGACTTGGTCTGGGCCAGTCCAACAAAATCAAGAGTGGGGGGGGGATAAACATTTATGAGGCGCGATGGAACTGCAAAGATCCCTGGAAGCTAAACAGGTTCTTGCCCTGGGCCGTTTTTTTTATTTAAAGGACGACCACGGCGCATACAAATAAATCGGGGTTACCGCAAGATCGGTCGTTGTACTGCACTGTGCTTCAAACGTCTATGGCTGCCCGCCTTCAACCCGCACTTACCCAGCACGTGGTTCGCGCTGAGTCAGGCTACACGCGGAGTGGGCGGGGGCTACCAGGGCAGTGGGCGTGGTTATGTCAAAGTGGGCGGCGCCGACGAACCGAGGGTGGTGGTATGGGGTGGAGGGTGGTGTCGAGGCCGGTATCGGCTGTTGCCGTGTGCTTTTATCCAATCCGTTTATACAAATACAGCCCGTTTCTTACACAATGTTCATCACCTTGTCCGGTGTTTAGCTTTCTCGGCCTGCGGGGAGTGCATCGGTTGTGTCCGTCTGGGCGTCTAAGGCAGGGCGGGTTTGCTAACCGAAGTAACAAGAAGGTCCGTTTTGTTTTCCCCCTCTAAATTCGGCAAAAGAAACCCCTCGGTTTTCCGAGAGCCGCAATATTCGTGGTGAATGAGGCGGCGGTCCCTTACCCAGCGTCACCAAACCCTGAGCGCCACTGCCTGCGGCTTCGGTGCAGAGCAGGCGGGTTAAAGAGTACATCGCAAAGACAAAGATCCCCCGTGTAGCCTTAAGACTGTTGGGGCAAGTGCTGTTAGCGAGCGCCTACGAAGGCCGGCACGGCACACGAGGGGGTGGGTGTCCAGCACCACGCCCGGTCGCCTTTGTCTCCCCTGTGGCGATGTTTACGCACCGCACCAAGTCCTCATTTGAGGCCGAGTCGACCTAGGGGAGGCCCAGGACCGGTTCAGATAATCGTCAGCGGTGTTGGTCGTGAGCGGGAAACCAACTCGGGTCGTTGGGTTCGTAGCGCAGCGCGCTAACCGCTGCACCACCGCTCCACACAGACACCCATTGACTCAATGGACTAAGAGGGACCTATACTCACGTAAAAAAAGACCCATACTTGAACAGAAACCCATGCATCAGCACATAACCCATTGACGAACGTAGCTTATCATAAGGGGCTGCATTTAGGGCTTCAATGCAGCTGCTGGACAGCAGGGCGATGGTGGGGAACAACCGGTTGACGATTGCAAGGTGCAACAGAACTACAGCACAACGATGGCACCCCCCCCCCCATATCACCGCACTGCCCCCTGCAACCCGGCACGGTTGAGCCGTGGCCATCAGAAGAGCCGCCCCCGTCTCAAATCCAGCTTCGCTTGCGAGGGCCGAGCGGGCGGGCGAGCCCACGGGGGTGGTGGGGACTCTGGGCACCGCTTCTCGACAGCCGTGTCCCCGCGTGTCCCCGCGTGTCCCCGCGTGTCCCCCCCATGCTGACTCAGACGCTGGCGTGGTGTCAAGCTCATCGAGATGGGGGGGGGGGCAGCCGGCGGGAAGTCCCCTCGGGGGCTAAAACTGGGTCCCTCCCCCCTCTCCCCTTCCTCCACCCCCACCAAAAGTCTCAACCCAACTCTGTAACGTGGCTGGCGTAGAGGCAATGCAACTACACGGGGGGGGGGGGGAGGGGGGTTACGAATGGGGACATTGGACAGCCCCAACCCACCCCCCCCCCCCACTTCATTCCTTGCACCAGGGCCCATGCCAGCCATGCCAGCGAGAGGTCCGTGGACCCACGCAGTGACCCACATAACCAGAACTCCCACGGAGCCCACGAGACTTGCACACAACGACCTCGCACGAGGACACCCCGTGTTAAACTAGCACCGACGGATGAACGTGGAGACCCACAAGACTAAGAAACTTGCGCAGTACCTGAACTCGTACTCGGACCATAACGCAGGGCTCGTACGGTAACATGGGATCCAGAGACTCGCAAGACGAAAGAGCCGACGGCGTAGCAAATCGGGCGGCCGGTCGGTGGCACAAGAGGCCACCGTGTCAACCACGGACTCTCAAACCAACCACCACGCGCCTCCTGAACGCCGGGACCAGCCACTGCGTTCAGCGGTGGAGAGGCAGCGACGCACTTAAGACGCCCGAGATGTCAAGAGCAGGTTTTTATTGCGACAGCAGACGCATCGATTACACCAACTCCCCCCCCCCCCCGCCCCCTCACGCATTTGGCCCCACCGAACCCAACCCCCCCCCCCCCCAAATGACAATCTGCGTCGCAGCTCGTTAAAAAACACAAACCCCAACGTCTTTGCTGGATTAAAAAAGTAAAACATTAGTGCAAACAGCGAGCGTAAAAAAAGCCAAACTCCACAAACCGTAACTCTCCATCATCGCGGTCCTCACCTGCTCCTCAAAACCCCTCCCCCTGAAAGTGATGTCCATGTGGACGAGACCGGTACAGCACCGTGACCCCCCAAAACACACACTGCTCTTGCCATAGTAAAATACCAACTACCAGAACAATGTTAAAAGTCAACTTGAAAAGAACCACCCCCCCCCCCCCCACTAAAAACAAGGTATAAAACGATAAAAACATTTTTAAACAGAGAGCAGGACACGACTATCACGTGTCCACAATAGCGGGCGCAACGTTAAAATGAGAATTAAAGGAATTCAGTTTTCGGATGGAGCTGCCCGGGGCTGAGATGCAGAAAATATTACTCAACCCCCCCCCGCCCCCCCCGCATCCGCTGTCAGGAGTGGGGGCAGGGTGGAACAGCTTGGGCCCTCCCCCCCAAAAACAGATATTCTATTTGAAATCACGCCCCGTGTCTGCATCAACATCCCCCTACCGCCACCTCTACCCCAGATTCGACCCCGCCACCACACCAACGCCGCACTGGCAAACGTTCAGTTGTGGCACTGGCCAAGCGTCACCCAGGTCTGCGAAGCACGAACAGGAAACCGGGTGGGGCGCAGCCAGCACCGCGTTGCTCAGAGTGAACACGTGCCCCAGCGGGCCCAGGAGGCCCAGCGGGCCCAGGAGGCCCAGCGGGCCCAGGGGGGATCGCGGGCCAGGGGGCGGCGCGAGCAGACTCCAAGACAGAGCCTCGCACAAGAGCGCGCTGGTCAGCTGCACGCAGAACGAATGATGCCCTGTGTGTAGGTAGAGCCAGAGGCACCGTTTCAGCGAGCTCAGAGGGCAATCGCCGTGCAGGTCACCTGTGGCGGGGGGGAAGAGACGGACTGAATTACACCACGAGCAGCGAGAGAAAGCGAGCGTGGGCAACACTGCCGCAGCCACAAGCAAAATGACAAAGATCCCCCCCAGTATCTTAACATGTAACGGAGATTTCAAATGAAGCGCCTTACGGCAAATACAAAAATAGGGGCTGGGCTGGTCATATTCGGGGAGCGGGAGTAGCGACAGGCATCGTGATTAGGGGTAGGGGCGGGAAGTAGCACTCGGATGGGCTTGGGAGAAAAAGGATGGGTTTTAGACAGGGTTGCTGGGAGCAGGTGCTGTCCGCGAGCAACTATGAAGGCCGGCACGGCACACGAGGGGGGTGGTTGGCCAGCACCACGCCCGGCCGCCTTTGTCTCCCTATTGGCGGTGTTTACAAACTGCACCAGGTACTCATTTGAGGTCGAGCCGAACTAGGGGAGACCCAGGAACGGGTCAAATAAATCGCCGCTTGTGCGAGCGGGAACCGAAGCTCGTCTCGCCGGGGTTCGTAGTGCAGCGCGCCACCTGCTACACCACCGCTTCGACACACAAACGCACCCGTTATGTATTATTCTTGGTTCAAATTTTGATTTAAAGCTTTCGTGACTGCAGTCATTCATATTCTTAGCTCTTTCGGTAAAGTCACGTTGAAGGGAAACAATAAAATAATAAAATATATTAAACAATAAAAATTCTCACGACGTTTCGACCATAACACAAACGGTCGTCATCACACCTGATGACGACCGTTTGTGTTATTGTTTAATATATATTTTTATTGTTTAATATATATTTTATTATTTTGTTTCCCTTCAACGTGACTTTACCGAAAGAGCTAAGAATATTCTTGTTGTGGTTTTCACACCTGATGACGATTGCTTGTATTGCAGTCGAAACGTCGTGATAATTTTATTGGTTTAGATTTTCTATTATTTTATTGTTTCCCTTCTACGTGGTGACTTTACCAAAAGAACCAAGAATATGAATCCCTGCAGTCACAAAAGCTTTAAATACATTTTTTACACCAGTTATGTTCAAGACCCTGTATTGACACAACAGGCAAATCGATGGAAATTAAACGCAAGCCTCCCATACACCACGTGACTTTTTTGGTCAGCCCCCGCCACTATGGGGAACTCCTCTCCTCGCTCCTGCTCACTCCGCTCTTTCCCTTCATTTCCTACACAAAATCTTAATTACTGGAGAAATACGATGAGCTGCAAAGTCCTTTTTCACAGATGTCCAGCAAGGGTGGGTCAGAGCGTTTACAACAAATACAAAAAACACGAAAGTATAGGAAAGGTAAACTTGGGAGAAAAAAGTACAATTTTTATGTGTTACCAGGCAAGGCCCACTTAGCTTTGTATTATTTTTTTTCAGAAGCGACCTGGCTGTCACATATGACAGCTCAACAAAAGTGGCTCATCACGTGGACATTTACAGCAGCCAAAGAATCTTTAAACAAAAAAAACGCACGGTTTCTAAAACGTGGAGGAAAAACGCAGAGGGCCCAGAGAAAAATCCACGCAACCACGGAGAGAGACACGCAAACTCCAATTATACAGCAGCAGGCGTCAAGGTCGGGATCGAACCCCCCCCCCCCCCCCATGCCTCGAAAGGATACAAGTTAAAATTCACTCTCACCCTCCCTTCCTCTTCCTGGCCGATGCTCCTCCCTCATCCTGCTGCTCATCTTAACCTTATGGGGGGGGGGAGGGGGGGGGGATGGTGTCTTCCATTCCGGTGTCCCCTTTCCTGGTCACCTTGCCCCTATCGGGCAAACGACTCAAGCGACCTTCGCCGTGTGCGCGCGTGCCACAGTTAAACATGTTAAATTATTCCCGATAGATGGAGACAGAGAGAGAGAGACAGGCAGAGGTAATTGGCAGAGGAAACACGAGAGAGTTATTGAACCTGCAATTTGGGGCGGCGGGGGCCAAGCGGGACGGTCAGCTGGGGGAAGAAAGTTCCAGAATAAACGGGGGACGCAGCAGATGAACCACGAGCTCTCCACCACCCCCCCCCCCCCCCCGATCAAAGGTTAAACTGGGGATCATCATCAACAACAGCCACCTGTGCCACGCCAGGGTAGGGCGCACGATGCACGCCGCCGCTCTGTTGCCCAAGAGTGCGCGTCTCATTTTTACTCGGCTCGGACACACGTGTACGGACGGACACACGTGTACGGACCCCAGACCAGCCACAGCCACACGCAATTCCCCCGCCCCCTTCCTTCACCCAAGTGCTCTCCTTGCAAGACTTACGAGACCAAACATAGGCAGGGGTAAGACAGCGGCGCGGTCGCACGTACACACACGGTAACAAAAACTGGCTAAAAAACACGTACAAGGCTATTGAGGATGGAACGGATCAGAAGAAAGTCCCCCCCAAACCACCCACCACCGAGTGACCTTGTGTAACCCTGCATGACCCCTCGTGACCCCACGGCAGTGGGCCACAAAAACAACCTCGCATCCAGTTTCCACGGCACGGCACAGGGCGACCGCTTGAACTCCTCCTGGAAGGCAGAGACGTTCACTTTTCCCTGTTCATGTTCCGTTAAAATTATAACGAAGCGGCACACTGGAGCAGATGGGCGCTCGGAATCGCGAGAGACCGGGAGATTAAAACGCACGGATTAGGAGAACACGTGCAGGTTTAAAAATAAATCCGTGTTTAGTATTCATCCAGCAATGGATATCGCCCAAGATGATGATGATGATGCGTGGGAGAGATTAATAATTGGAATTACATCGGAGACAGGAAGGAGCAGCACTCAGATTTTCATCCAGCAGCGGAAAAAGCATGTTCAGAAAATCGTGGAAAGATGCCGGATTGGAGTTGGAGCAACGAGACAGAATGTGCGCAAGCAACGGACAACCTTGGTGATCTTTGGCCACTCGGGGGATAGCCCACGACAACGATGATGATGAATGCACAGGGGAGGAGATGCGTGCCTGGAATTAGACTGGATGAGACCGAGAGAGAGCGAGGGGGGAACACGTGGGGATTAGAGGACACACATGGATATTAATAAAAACCAACACATGCCAAACTGGGGTAGAGCAAAAAAAACTAAGTGAAGTGCGCCTGGGGGCATGACGCGTCACGGATGGAGTGAGTGGATGGAGTCTGAGATGGAGAGAGATGCTTCAAGAAAATCGTCACAGAGGACACAGATTTGTGGGGGCCTAGGCCCGGCATGGAGCCCCCCCCCCTACCCCCCCACATCAGGTTTGGAGCGCTGTCGGGAGATTGTGCAATTAGAGACGGCACTGCGTGCAGACAACCCCACCGTGGGACTGGATTCTGCCAGTCTTCCCTATAGCTCCGACCAAACATTCACCCCATCAACTCAACCCGCCCCAACCAACCAAGAGCACAACCGCTAACCCCAGGCCCACCACAGCCACGAGCCATGGCACCACGACCACCACACACTTTCTCCAACAACCCAAAAAAACACCACTACCGGCCTGAACTTCATCACCTCTCACAATCCTAACACCGTCTCGTGGTGATAAGAGACTCCCGAATGGTGCGTGGAGGATGGGAAAGTCGCCACTCACAAAGCATCCCCATTACAGCGTCAAGACTTTTAGGGCGAGTGCATTTTAGCGAGCATCTACAGCGAGGGAAAAAAGTATTTGATCCCCTGCTGATTTTGTACGTTTGCCGACTGACAAAGAAATTATCAGTCAATAATGTTAATGGTAGGTTTATTTGAACAGTGAGAGACAGAATAACAAAAAAAATCCAGAAAAACGCATGTCAAAAATGTTATAAATTGATTTGCATTTTAAATGAGGGAAATAAGTGTTTGACCCCTCTGCAAAACATGACTTAGTACTTGGTGGCAAAACCCTTGTTGGCAATCACAGAGGTCAGACGTTTCTTGTAGTTGGCCACCAGGTTTGCACAAATCTCAGGAGGGATTGTGTCCCACTCCTCTTTGCAGATCTTCTCTAAGTCTTTAAGGTTTCGAGGCTGACGTTTGGCAACTCGAACCTTCAGCTCTCTCCACAGATTTTCTATGGAATTAAGGTCTGGAGACTGGCTAGGCCACTCCAGGACCTTAATGTGCTTCTTCTTGAGCCACTCCTTTATTGCCCTGGCCGTGTTTTGGGTCACTGTCATGCTGGAATACCCATCCACGAACCATTTTCAATGCCCTGGCTGAGGGAAGGAGGTTCTCACCCAAGATTTGACGGTACATGGCCCCATCCATCGTCCCTTTGATGCGTTGTCCTGTCCCCTTAGCAGAAAAACACCCCCAAAGCATGTTTCCACCTCCATGTTTGACGGTGGGGATGGTGTTCTTAGGGTCATAGGCAGCATTCCTCCCCCTCCAAACACGGAGAGTTGAGTTGATGCCGAAGAGCTCCATTTTGGTCACATCTGACCACAACACTTTCACCCAGTTGTCCTCTGAATCATTCAGTGGCAAACTTCAGACGGGCATGTATATGTGCTTTCTTGAGCAGGGGGACCGTGCGGGCACTGCAGGATTTCAGTCCTTCACGGTGTAGTGTGTTACCAATTGTTGTCTTGGTGACTATGGTCCCAGCTGCTTTGAGATCATTGACAAGATCCTCCCGTGTAGCTCTGGGATGATTCCTCACCGTTCTCATGATCAATCATTGCAACTCCACGAAGTGAGATCTTGCATGGAGCCCCAGGCCAAGGGAGATTGACAGTTCTTTTGTGTTTCTTCCATTTGCGAATAATCACACCAACTGTTGTCACCTTCTCACCAAGCTGCTTGGCAATGGTCTTGTAGCCCATTCCAGCTTTGTGTAGGTCTACAATCTTGTCCCTGACATCCTTGGAGAGCTCTTTGGTCTTGGCCATGGTGGAGCGTTTGGAATCTGATTGATTGATTCTGTGGACAGGTGCCTTTTATGCAGTTGACAAGCTGAGATTAGGAGCACTCCCTTTAAGAGTGTGCTCCTAATCTCAGCTCGTTACCTGTATAAAAGACACCTGGGAGCCAGAAATATTTCTGATTGAGAGGGGGTCAAATACTTATTTGCCTCATTAAAATGCAAATCAATTTATAACATTTTTGGCATGCGTTTTTCTGGATTTTGTTGTTGTTATTCTGTCTCACTGTTCAAATAAACCTACCATTAAAATTATAGACTGATCATTTCTTTGTCAGTGGGCAAACGTACAAAATCAGCAGGGGATCAAATACTTTTTTCCCTTCACTGTACGAAGGCCTGCCACCGCAACCACAAACCTCACTGACCCACGCACAACACGGTGACACACTGACACACAACACCACCACCTCCCCCTGACTTGCACCACAACCACACAACCCTCCCTCCACCACTGAAATCCATTTGAAACCCTGCACCATCACCCTCGCCACGACCACATCAACAGCATCTCCTCCTTCTCCTAACCCACCTCGCATAGCTTGCGTGACAGAGCTCGCCAGCCACGCAAAAGGCAAAGCAGACTGCAAAAAAGCATCCGCTCACAATCCCTTGTATAGCCGCGTGGCAGAGCGCCGGCGTACGGGGGAGTGCCCCCCGTTACTTAAACGACCCGAGACCACTGCGCACGCTCGCTAACCCTGAGCGCATCGGGGGGGGGGGGGGGGGGGGGGGTGTTACGATTCGACAGCTCCAAGGCAGTCGCCGTGCAGTCGGCGGTCGCCACGTAAACCGAGTCTAACGGAGGCCAAGTCAACCTGACGTGGCCACACAAATTTAAACGGCCGATTTCATGTCTTTGACAACATCAGTATTAGTGGCCCAAGCCAAACACCAATTATAAATCGTGCAGTCACACTGCATTTGCTGCAAGTGTTTGAAGAGTCTAGATTTTATAAGCCAGTGGAGAGCATGCAATTAGAGTCAAAGTCTAACATTAAAGATTCCATGGCTGAGCGAACGAGACAGATTCTATCATGGGGCATTTTTTTTCCCAGTATCAAAGCATGAAAATAATAATAATAGATTTTCGACGAATTCTGCATCTCCGAGCCAGACAATATGCAGTCACATGCCATAGCCAAGGCAGTCACGACAGGCAGTCTTCCGTGACCAAGCGCGCAAAATCAGATTCTCCAGCTCCAAGCGCTTAACAACAAGGCATATCGGTTTCCACGGCTCCGCGTTGTCCGCTGACGTCGCGCAGCGCAGACAACGAAACCACGGAACGCTTCCGCGAGACGGCGGCGACAGGCCCCAAGGACGCACCCGCCGCCACGTGTGCTCGTGCAGAGAGCTCAACAAGAACGAATCCTCCCACAATGCAATGTGTGAGCAGCAACATTGTTAACTCCACTTTTAATTAACAGGTTTGCTAGTTCACCATAAACACTTTGGTGGCGATCGAAGGGGTTTGCCTGTTACTCAACAGCCACTATGAGTGTAATTATTCACGATGAGAATAAAAACTGGGTCATCATCAGGAAAACATTTTACAAATGCAATTCTCATCAGGCCCCACGGTGTACGCAAGTGCAGCCTGCAACTTGTAGGAGGTATTTCTAACGGGGCACGTTTACAGCTCAGAGATCGTTAACCCGTAATCGGATTCTACGTCTCCTAAACCGCACAAATCCAAATTGGATTCTGCACCCAAGCTAGTGAACATTAAAATAATTCCATAGCCGTTCAAGCTAATCTAATTACTTTACAAAGCTCCAAGGTGGTAAAACTACAATCCGTTTAGCACACACACACATTCAAAGTCAAATTTAAAAAAACAGATGTTTATAAATCTTGGTGAAAACGCCACGTCGGTTGCCTTTCATTGCCGGTGAGACCCCTCGCGTTACAGCGCCACCCTGAGGACAATGCTGGAGCTTGAAGCAGGACCACAAATTAGAATTTCAGTATTCTTGGGTCTTTCGGTAAAGTCACGTAGATTGGTTCAAAGAAAGGAACAGACGACCGCTTTTTGTGTTGCGATCGAAACGTCGTAGTTTTTTGTTACTTTTGGTTATTTTCTTTGAACCTATCTACGTGACTTTACCAAAAGACCCAAGAATATTAATTCCTGCAGTCGCGAAAGCTTTAAGTCAAGATTTAGAATTTCAGTACACCGGCCAATGTTCGGCGTTTACTGGGCGATTCTAACCGCCCCCCCCCCGCCACCCAATCTTTTCCAACCTTCAATCCCAGACGTTAACCGCCGTCCGATTTAGTGGAGGACTAAAACATAAGCAGACGACGAGACGTCTTCATTAAATCAGTCTCGCCGTAGAAACTACATTTTTTGTTTTATGTTTTAAAATCCCATCGGCCTCACGGACCTATTGGGATTGAAATGCTTCAGCAGCGTCGACTTAAACACAACGAGCAGCAAACATTCATTCTGGGTCGGTTTTGGCAGCCAGGCTTAGCTGGAATCAATCAATGCTGGCGAGGTGCCCCACGTTACAGGCAAGGACCTTCTTGATGACATGGAGTTGGAGGGGGGGGGGGTGTTTGATCCCCACCCATACTTCACCTCTACCCGCCCCCTCCCGATCTCACCCAAAGTAAATTCATAGCAGTCTCCGACACTCACGTCTCACCGCAGTCACTCACAAAGACAATTCGACTTTAAAACACACAAAGATCCCCCGTATAGCCTTAACCGACTGTTGGGGCAAGCGCTGTTAGCGAGCAGCTATTGAGGCCAGCACAGCACACGAGAGCGTGGGTGGCCATCATCTATGCCCGGCCGCATTCGTCTCCCCAGTGGCAATGTTTACACACCGCACCAGGTACTCATTTGAGGCCAAGTCGACCTAGGGGAGGCCCAGGACCGCCGTGAGAGGGAATAAAACTCGGGTTGTCGGGTTCACAGCGCTAAACGCTACGCTACCACTCCCCACTACCCATTGACTCAGACATCCATGGACTAAAAGAGGACCCTTGCACTAACAGAGACCTATAGACTCGCATAAAAGAACCATACTTAACACAGACCCACGCACCAACACAGAAACGCATGCATCAGCATGTAACCCACCGATGAACATGGAACCTGCAGACGGTCGTAAAAAAAGTACACGACAAACACAACATCCCGCCCCCCACCCCATGGGTCTCACCGCCGGAGATCTCCGTGTGGAACGCAAGGAGCTGGTTGGCCGCGGGGGAGAGGGCTTCGCGGAGCCACGCGTACTCGGCGTGGCACAGCCACTGGCTGACGTGCCACTTGCGCGACAGAAAGTCGCGCAGCCACACGAGGTACTCCGCACGGCCCGTCTGCATGTACAGCCTGTGGGGGACGGAAGCAGGTTACAGGCACACTCTTACGGGGATGTGGATGTAATATAGTTGTGGGTGTGCACAGGTGTCGGGGAGCCTTAAACATCGCCACTAGGGAGACAAAGGGGGCCAGGCGTGGTGGTAGTCACCTACCCCCCACGTGTGCCGTGCCGGCCTTCATTAGGTGCTCGCTAACACTTGGCCCCAAAAGTTTGTTAAGGCTATACTGGGGGGGGTGGGGGGGGGGGGGGAGCTGTCTGTGTGTATGTTGAACTTCTTTCGCACCATACATAGCCAACCGTGCTAAATCGGAGGTACAGGGGAGGTGGGGGGGGAGATAGCTCCTCGTGGCTTCCTCTTAAAATCAGAAGAGTGCATTCCAGACGGCCGCAAGAGCGCATTGAAAAGCACAAAGCGACGCGGTGACCGTCCTGTGGGGTGCGGTGTGCATGCGGAATCGTCACTCGTAGTAGGGCGTCGGGTAGATGAGAGCCCAGCGGGTCTGGTTGTGCGCCACCCTCTGCAGCTTCAGCACCCTGCCCAATGCGACCTTCACAGAGTCCCAGAGGGTGCTGCGGCTCACAGGCCCGGCCATCAGCTGCGGTTGCAGGGCACGCACCGCCCCCACCAGCGTGTGCACGTACACCTGCGGGGGGGGGGGAGGGGCGGAGGGCCGCACGCAACACACAAAAAGCTAAGAACCAATGTGAGCCGGGCGGGCAGCAGTATAGCAAGTAGGTTATCTTTAGCGGGGCAAGGTCAGCAAGGTCGGGACGGCACGGCTGACAAGGTGCGATCGTACAAGGGACACGGGCCGATGGAAGTGGTTTGTGTGGAAAATCAACACCGGGGAGACAAAGGCGGCCGGGCGGCATGCTAATCACACCGGCTCCTCGTGCACCGTGAAGGGCTTCAATGGTGCTCGCTTTACAGCACTTTCCCTCCAAGTCTGCTAAAGGCTATACGGGGGATCTTTGTCCTTGTGCGAGTGGGCACGTTTGTCTAGTGTAGCTACGAATCTGGCAACCCAAGTTCGATTCTCGCTTACGGCCAACACCAGCGAGGATCATCTGAACCGATCTTGGGCCTCCACTAGGCCGACTGAGCCTCAAACGAGTACCTGGTGCGGTGTGTAAACATCGCCACTGGGGAGACAAAGGCAGCCCGGGCGTGGTACCGACCACCCACCCCGCCTCGTGTGCCGTACCGGCCTTCATTAGGTGCTCACTAACAGCACTTGCCTCAACAGTCTCTTAAAACTACACGGGGGATCTTTGTCCGTCTTTGTCGGTGGTATTGGCGGTGGCGGATGGGGGGGGGGGGGGGTCACCTTTCGCCGCTTGAATTGGGTCCAGTCCCTGCTGGTGAGCCAGACTTGCAGGGAGCGACACGTGGACACGTAGTAGCGGACCGTGGCGATGCCTACATCGCCGTGGGCAGGGGAACAGGCGGCGTGGTTGGGCAGAGCGGCGAGTCCGGGTACTGCAACACGAGTCCCCCATTGCCAAGCCCAGCTCCCCATTGCCAGATAACAGATCCAGTATCCGGCCTCGCGTTCCGCATTGTTGGGGTGGAATGTTGCGAATCCCCCTTCCCCATGGGCGCCGAGGAGCCCGTACACACTGGCTCGCCAGGAGAAGGCGGCACAGCAAAGCGTGCACACCCCGCCCGTTCCATCCGCGTGGAATCACGAATTGCCCCATCGTGCGCATGGGGTTCCCCTCTGGGTGCTCCGGTTTCAACCCACGTAAACAAAAAGAAAAAAAAAATCACCCTTTAAAACTAACTTAACTTTTTATCTGACCAGGTAAGGCCCGCCGAGCTACATAGCTCTTTTTTCAGGAGACCTGGCCATCACAAATAACAGCTCCACCAAGTGGCGTATCATCTCTAGATTTGAAGCTTTCGTGACTGCAAGGATCCATACTCTTTGGTTCTATTCCAGTGGTTCTTAACCTTGTTGGAGGTACCGAACCCCACCAGTTTCATATGCGCATTCACCGAACCCCTCTTTAGTGAAAAATAAAATGTGATTTTTTTCAAATTCAAGACGTAGATATGTTTTTTACTGGTACACAAAATGAGCCGTGCATGAACATTACCTTGTTCAAAGAATAAAACCAACACAATGCATAAACTCACAACAAATTACATACCTGGAAATCAATGTGACTTCTGCTGTTGCCTTTGAGAGATCAGTTCAGATATGCGTGGCTTCACCTTGGCAAGTGCCACTCTCATGTCATTTTCACAGCAAAGTCTGTTCCTTTTCTTCGTTTTTATGTCCAGCATCCTCGAAAAGGATTGCTCACAAAGATATGTTGTAACAAATGGTATAAAAAATCCAGGGCTTTCTTAGCAATAACTGGATACTTGTTCATTTGTCGACACCAAAACGTTGAGAGCGTTGTTGTTCTGAAGAGTTGCTGTTGAACCTGGCTCTGCTGAATTTCAATGATTTCGTCGAGGAATTCATCATTGACATCTGCTGTTTCAACAGCAAACGTGAATGGCTGTCTCACCCATGCTGGATATGACTCTCTTGTAGGGAAATATCCGTCGAGAGACTTTGCAAGCTCATCTAAGTGCGTGGCAATTGTTTGCTTCAGTTCCGTGGATACAGAAATATCTCCGATTCCAGACACATCTTCGATCTTACTTGCACAGTCGTCCAGAAGCGGGAAGTTTGCGAAGTTATTGTTCTCTGTTCGTCGTTTCCATAACGGTAGCTTTTTTTTAAAAGACTTCAGGTGTTCTTCCGCTTCCATGATATTGACTCCACCACCCTGCATCTGCTGATTGAGATGATTGAGAGCTGCGAATATATCAGCCATGTACGCTAAAATGAGAATGAACTCAGGATTTTTGAAGCAATCTGCATGGCAGTGTTGGTGCTCTTGCAAAAACAGGGCTAATTCCACACGCATGGCAAAAACACGATTCAGCACCTGTCCCCGGGATAACCACCGAATATTAGAATGGAGCAGAAGTACCTCAAATTCAGAGCCCATTTCTTTACACAGCTCACTGAAGATGCGGTGCCTCAGAGCACTTTTTCGCACATAGTTCACACATTCCACCACAGTTTTTAATACTTCTGCCATTTTTGGAGGTAAGGTTTTTGTTGCCAACGCATGCCTGTGCAGAATACAATGCGTCACAATGATGTGTGGTGCATCGGCCTTTACTAGCGCACCAAAACCAGACTTTCTTCCCAGCATGACTGGAGCTCTGTCCGTACAAACTGCAGAAACCATATCCCATGAAAGATTGTTGTCTCTGAAGAAGTCATCCACAAGCTTCTTCACATCGGCTGCCTTCGTTGTTGTTGTAAGAGGCTTACAAAATAAAAACTCTTCTTTTATCATGTCGTCTTTCACATAGCGTACAAAAACAGCAAGCTGGCTTAGATCAGAAACGTCTGTGGTTTCGTCGAGTTGAAGGCTGAATTTTGCCGGGCTTGAAATCAGATCCGCGACTACTTGAGCCAAGATGTCTTTACTCATGTCTTCTATTCTGTCACTGACGGTGTCATTTGAAAGGGGAATTTGGGATAATTTACCTTCGGCCGCTGTTCCGAGTATCAGATTCGCCATCTTTAATGCAGCTGGTTTCACAAGTGTTTCACCAATGGTGTGTGGCTTGCCCTGCTTTGCGATCAGGTAAGCAACTTCGTACGATGCTGTCAGGATCGGTTTGTTAACAGGTACAAATCCAAGAGCAGGCAGAGTGGCCCTTTCATCGAATCTGGCTCTCTTCACCCTGAATTCAGTAAGTGTTGTGTTCTTGTATTCTCCGTCTCCATGCAGCTTCAAGAAGTGTTCCTTTAGTTTTGCCGGTGCAAGACTAGAGTTGCTCAACTTGGCGTTGCAAATCATGCAGATAGGACGCTCACTCCCATCACGTTCCGTGATACATGAGAATCCATGTTGTACATATTCGTCCGACCACTTTCTTCTTTTGCCCGACATAGTTAGTATGGATAAAATATTAAAGAAATCACACGACGTACGACAACAACAGTCACACGTTGACTACTGAGTACGCACTAAATTCCCCACAGCGCTGATTGGCCAAGCAGTGTAGCATGATCATCTGCAGCCAGTGATGGCCAAGCGGGCCGTGTGTGTCATCACAAATTTACACAATAATTCAAGTGTGTCCGGACCTCCGTGGCGGGGGCTCTGCCGAACCCCTGAGATCGACTCACCGAACCCCTGGGGTTCGATCGAACCCAGGTTAAGAACCACTGTTCTATTTGGTAAAGTCACGTAAAAGTATAAAACAACAAAAAATAAAAAATTTTACGACGTTTCTGCCACAACACAAGTGGCCTTCATCAGGTGAAGGGACCAGACTGTCTCGGACAGCGCTGGAGTGAACACAGCCAAGTTCAGACCGCGACCTTTAAGCTGTGTGGGAGGAATTAAGGTGCCTTGACAAAGGAATTAGCATAAAAATTAGCATTCAATTGGCGGACTTAGCATGATGAACAGTATAGAGGGGGTGAACATGTGCAGACCGGCGAGGGGGAGAGGGGGAGTTTGCCTATTGATGGTGTGAAAAGGGAATTTTTAAGAGCTGCGAAAGTTTGGGGTACCACTACTTGAAAAATATACTGTACCATTGAAAATTTGTTTAATGTTTGGTTCGATTTAGAACATCTTTCCAATGGTTGCTTAATTTGAAACCTGACTTACAGTACCCCGGAGTTTACAGATTGATCTGCACCTGTGGTGACTGCTATATCGGGGAGACGAAACGACATGTCTCTGACCGAATTCGCGAGCACAAATCAGATTTGAAACACTGCAGAACGAATTCTTCTGCCGTGGCTGATCACTGTTACAACGCTGTGGGTGATCACGATATAGTTTTCTCCGATACCAAGGTTCTTTGCAAACCCACGGGTTTTTATCAGAGATTTGTTCACGAGGAAATTCAGATTTACAAACACAGACACAATTTCAACCGAGATGGTTTCAAATTAAGCAACCATTGGAAAGATGTTCTAAATCGAACCAAACATTAAACTAATTTTCAATGGTACAGTATATTTTTTAAAGTAGTGGTATCCAAAACTTTCGCAGCTGCTTAAATTCCCTTTTCACACCATCAATATGTAAACTCCCGCTCCCCCCCTCGCCGGTCTGCACATGTTCACCCCCTCTACACCGTTAATCATGCTAAGTCCGCCAATTAAATGCTATTTTTTATGCTAATTCCTTTGTCAAGGCACCTTAATTCCTCCCACACAGCTTAAAGGTCGTGGTCTGAACTTGGCTGTGTTCACTCCAGCGCTGTCCGAGACAGTCTGGTCCCTTCACCTGATGAAGGCCACTTGTGTTGTGGCCGAACGTCGTGAATTTTTTATTTTTATTTTTAGTTGTTTTACACTTTTACGTGACTTTACCGAATAGAACCAAAGAGTATGGTTTATCATCGTGTGGATATTTACAGCAACTGACAAATACTCTCAACGCATTAACTGGCCGATAAGACCCGACAGCAGTGACGGGCGACCCGACAGCGGTGACGGGCGACCCAGACTCGAGTTTGTCGGGCCACGCGAGCGGACATCCCGACCCACCCCCCGTCTCAATACTTCTCAAGTTCTCTCCCCCACCCTCATCCACTCATCTCCATTCTTTGAAGGTCCTTCAAAACCTCTCCACCATTCTCGATCCATCTTCAAGCCATCTCCAACCACCCTCTTACCCCCCCCCCCCCCATGCACCACCCTCCTCTACCCCCAACCAATCACCTCTCAATCTCCATTCTGTACCACCACTCCAGCCCTGTACCCTGGGGCTCTACACACCTAACACTCTTTTAATAATCCACCCCCATCCATCACTTAATCCTTCAAGTTAATACACATTGCCGCATCCACCTCTCTCCATGCCTTGTCCACACTTCCAAATGCTCCAGTTGTTTCCACCGCTATCAACCAATTTCCATCCCCCCGAATTCCTTACTCAACTTTCCCAATCCCCCATGCCCCTAATCCCACCACACCACACCTGTCTTACATCCCCACGTCCAGACTTCCACAATCTCCCTCCACCGACGAGGGTTCACTCACCGGCCTCCTCATCCGCCATGGCGAGCCGCCCCTTCAGATAGTCCCGCGTTAGCTGGTGCATGTCGGCCACTCTCGACACCCCCCCATCGCTCACCTTCGGGCGCTCTGAACTGCAGGGTGGGGGGGTGGGACACAGCAGAGAGTGGTGGGCAGAGGTTGAGCAAAGGGTTAGGAGAGGTCTAAACTAAACATTATTTGAAACTAAACTATTTTAATTTTGACCTGGTAAGGCCCACTGATCTCTATCGCTCTTTCAGAATCAACGTAGCCACAAATTATAGCTCCAAGTGACTTATCGTGTGGACATTTATAGCAGCCAAATACTCTAAAATGCACGATGTCGATTCCAAAATGTGGCGGGAAACAACTAAAGGACCCCGAGAGGAATCCACGCAACCACCAGACAGAGAGAACATGCAAACTCCAAATACATAGGCTAGGATCGCACCCACGACCTCCTGCATACTAGGCAAAATAGTCAACATCACCATCAAGGTCAGCAGGAGGGGAGGGTGAGTGGTTGAGACCGGATTCATAAAAAAAGAATCGCTACCCTCAATAATCCGGTTTAGCCACGGTCACAGCATCACACTCCAGTCACCTGGCCTCCTCCGTTTGTTCCAGAGTGAACTCCCTTGCTTACAGAGGCAGCAGATGAGATGGTTTAGAGAAGGGCTGGTCCCAGTCCACTGCACTCATAAGTTAGGGTCACTCTCTCTTTTCTGCTGCCCCCACAGTCTGGAACTCCCCTTCCACCAGCCACTCCCGTCCTGCTGGCCTGCTTGCCCCTCTATTCAGGTCCGGGTTCAAGAAAGGCCTTCCCCCTTCTCCCCCCTACGACCGATCACCTCTCAAGAGACCCACAGACCCACAGACCCGCAGAGAGACCCACAATTCAAGAGGCCTATTTCCCGACTGCCTCGAGGTTCCACCCGCGTCTGTCTGCAGCAGATCCAGATGGGGTCACGCTTCATAAAAATTTTATTTAGCGAATACAAAGTCCCCGAGCTAAGCGGTCGCTTCCGGTCCCGCCGTGTCGAGGGCGAGGAAGAACTCCGCCGAGCCTGTGGATCGGGTAGACTCCTAGGACGCGGTGCAGCACTGCTTGCTCCACCCCACACAGGGCGCATGGCGGGGCTTGCTCCACCCCACACAGGGCGGGGCTTGCTCCACCCCACACAGGGCGGGGCTTGCTCCACCCCACACAGGGCGCATGGCGGGGCTTGCTCCACCCCACACAGGGCGCATGGCAGGGCTTGCTCCACCCCACACAGGGCGCATGGCGGGGCCTGCTCCACCCCACACACAGGCACATGGTGGGGCTTGCTCTCATGCGGTTGGCACGTGAGCGGTCCTCAACGTGCTGAGGGTGTGGACCGCTCCTTCCTGGGGAGGTGAACCCAGGCGGCTGTTGCACGATCTCTCCGCTGCGAGCCGGAACTCACGCCGCCACTCGCAAGCAGAGCCACGGGGGAGCAGCGTCGCGGGAGCGGTGTGGCGGTGGGGGAGGGGGATCGTCGTTACCCCGGGGGTGGACCGGTGCCGTCCCCCCTCCAGCACGTGAGGACGTACAGACTGCTGCCCCCGATTCTGGAGGAGGACACGGTCTCCTGCAGCAGCTCGCCCATGAGCCACTGGAAGCGCTGCTGGCGGTACAGCGAGTAGGCGGCCTCCAGCGGCCGGTGCGCTGCGAGGCGAGAGGAAGCGGAGTGCGTCGAGGGCGGCGCGAGCGTCCGGCGCTCGCCGCGTTAGCCAATCACGCAAACGCGGTGCGACAGGCGCCCGAGCGTTCACACGGTCGCGGGCACGCACACGGCAGGCAGCGCGAGACGTGGGGGTAAGTTCAGCCGAGGGATCGGTGCGAGGAGGGGCAAGGCACTGTGGTGGTGGGGGGAGGATGCTGATGTGGGGCTGGGAGGAGATAGGGGAGTAAGGAGAAAGTAGCGTTGGGGGAGTTTGGTGGACGGGGGGGGGGTACAGGAAGGATGAATGGCCCTGGTGGATCTGCATGTGTATATGCACCGAGATGCCGTACACGAGCATGTGTGCGCACACTCGGGAGACAAAGGTGGCCGGGAGTGCTTGCTGGCCACCCACCCGTGTATGTAGACGTGTGCTCGCGCGCACAAAGGGGGTAGCGTTAGTATAGCGATTTGTTCTCAGCGCTACGAACCCGGCGAGTACGATTCCCGCTCTAACGGCCACCAACACCGGTGAGGTTGATGTGAACCGGTCCCGGGCTTCCCCAGTGCGGCGTGTAAACATCGCCACGAGGGAGACAACGTGTAAACATCGCCACGAGGGAGACAACGAGTAAACATCGCCACGAGGGAGACAACGAGTAAACATCGCCACGAGGGAGACAACGTGTAAACATCGCCACGAGGGAGACAACGGCGGGCAGGCGGGCGTTGCGTTATCCCCTTCATTCGGCACTCGCTAGCCGCACTTGCCCCCAACATTCTATTAACGGCTATACGGGGTATCGTTGTTGTTGGGGTGTGCGCGCGCGCGCGTGTCTGTGAGAGCGTGTGCGTGCGCTCCGTCTGTGAGTGCGTGTCGGCGCGCGTGCGCCGTGTGTCTGCACGCGCGCACACACGTACTCGAATTTATATGCACGCTGAGCACGTGACGCATCAGAGAAGCGGCATCTCCGTGGCGCAGGATGGCGGCGGCGTGCAGCTCCGTGCAGGCGACTCTGTACCAGTCCGCGTAGCCTGGGACTGACTCGCAACAGACAAAGTTCCCCCATATAGCCCGAGCACACCCTTCGGGGCAAGTGCAGTTTGCTCACAACACAAGACACACACGCGTGACACAGACATACATAAGCCGCGTCCAACGATCAGAATCGGAACATGAATTGATACTGGAGCAATCTCTGATGAGCTACCATGCTCTTCGTCCACAGATGCCCAGGAGTGAACGACCGATAGAGATTTTTCAGGGCAGGAACGAGTGAAGTTAACAGCATGGGGAGGTCTTCATCTGGCAGTGGATAGACAATGCCCGCTGCTGCTGACGATGATGGTTAAAGGTAATGGAACAATCATGCAGAGGAAGACGATACAAAGAGACAAGGTCAAAGTTTCTCAGTATAGCCTGCACAGATTGTTTGGCCAAATGCTGTTAGCGAGTGCCTATGAAGGCCGGCACGGCACACGAGGGGGTGGGGGGGTGGCCAACACCACGCTCGACCGCCTTTGTGATGTTAGCACACTCCACACCAGGCGTTCTTTTGAGGCCACCTAGGGGAGGCCCAGGACCGGTTCAGACAATAATCACCGGTGTTGGCCATGAGCGGGAATCGAACTTGGGCCGCCGGGTCAAAAGCGCAACGGGCTAACCGCTAAGCGACTGCTCCACACATACACATGCCGAGAGGAACACACAACCAAAAGATCCCCAACCCCTGGCCCCCACCAAGCGTACAGCCTTCAAAAATATACTTTTGGGCAAGCGCGGCAAATATGGTCAGTCACCCAAGTTCCATTCCGGGACTAGGTTAACATGTGGCAGACAGCATCAGCTGGCCGAATTTCTCTTCAACAGGCAGCTGTGTCGCAGAACGAGGGCTTTACTCAGACACGGGACAGAGTTACCCCCTCTTGACCTCTCCGGACGTAAAACTAAAAAGTTTATTTATTTTACCAGGTAAGGCCCACTGAGCTACGTAGCTCTTTCACAAGCGACCTGGCCACAAATGATAGCTCATCGAAGTGGCCTATCATCGCGTGGAAATGCATAGCAGACAAATGCTCTGAACTCGCGATGTTGATTCTAAAATGTGGAAGGAAAAACGGGAGGACCCGGGAGAAAAACCCACGTGACCACAGGGAGCGAGACACGCAGACTCCAAATATAGAGCAGGCATCAGCGTCGGGATCAAACCCACGACCCTCCTTGCATACCAGGCGAGGTAGTTAACATCTCCTAGCCACCGTGATGATGATGAGAGAGACACGCAAACTCCAAATATACAGCAGCAGGCGTCAGGGTTGGGATGGAACCCACGACCTCCTGTAGACCAGGCGAGGTAGTTAACATCTCCTAGCCCCTGTGATGAGAGAGAGAGAGAGACACACAAACTCCACATATACAGCAGGCATCAGGGTCGGGATGGAACCCACAACCTCCTGCATAGCAGGCGAGGTAGTTAACATCTCGGCACCCCTCACCGAGGAGTGGCTCTGCGAGATCGGCGGGGGTGACGCCCCAGAGCCGCATCATGTCCCTGCCCGTCACCAGCACCTTCCTGGGCAGCGCGGCGCTGCCGGGTCCCTGGAACGCCACCCAGCCGAGCCAGTAGGGGGTGCCGATGGAGGGGTGGCGCCGCGACACGACGGCGCGGTCCATGTTTCCGCGCAGGCGCGGGTTGAAGCGCAGCATGGCGTGGATGCGGCTCCACATGTGGAGCGCGCGGTACACGCAGCGAGCGGGGGGGGGATACGACGGCATGGAGACGGAGAAGTGGCTCTGAGTGGGGGGGGGGGACAGACATTAAGTGGCACTGAGTGGGGGGCACACGGTGGGGGAAGGGGTGGATTCCACCCGTCCCATCCCACTTAAACTGGCCTCCTCTCACCGTGCGGAATCCTCCAACCCAACTCTGCCGCCCATTCTCGCCTCTCTCCTCGACCCTCATCCTCCTGGATCTTTCCTCAGCCTTCGACACAGTCCATCACCACCCCCCCCCCCCCCGTCACTCATCTCCCCAGTCTTGCTATTTCCAGCGCACCCCTTCACTGGCTCCAGTCTCACCTCGTGCCCTTCCTCTCTTCCCTTCAACCCCTCCATCACTGCTGGTGCCCTTGCTATTCTACCTCGACATCTCACCTCTGGAAGGCGGTCATTGAGTCACGTGACTCCCCCCCCACCCGCGCCTCCTCGCCAACGACAGCGAGCACGTGATCTCAGTCCTCTCCTTGGATCCCCCTCCACCTCCACCCCCCCCTCCACCTCCACCCCCCCCTCCACCTCCACCCCCCCCTCCACCTCCACCCCCCCCTCCACCTCCACCCCCCCCTCCACCTCCCCCGCCCCCTCCACCTCCACCGCCCCCTCCACCTCCACCGCCCCCTCCACCTCCACCCCCCCCTCCACCTCCACCCCCCCCTCCACCTCCACCCCCCCCTCCACCTCCACCCCCCCCTCCACCTCCACCCCCCCCTCCACCTCCACCCCCCCCTCCACCTCCACCCCCCCCTCCACCTCCACCCCCCCCTCCACCTCCACCCCCCCCTCCACCTCCACCCCCCCCCCCCTCCACCTCCACCCCCCCCTCCACCTCCACCCCCCCCTCCACCTCCACCCCCCCCCTCCACCTCCACCCCCCCCTCCACCTCCACCCCCCCCTCCACCTCCACCCCCCCCTCCACCTACCTCCACACCCCCTACCTCCACCGCCCCCCCCCTCCACCCCCATCCACCGCCACACTCCCCCCCCCCACAGCCAGGAACCAGGCCCCGTCACAGCCAGGAACCAGGCCCCGTCACAGCCAGGAACCAGGCCCCTCACAGCGAGGAACCAGCCCCGTCACAGCCAGGAACCAGGCCCCGTCACAGCCAGGAACCAGGCCCCGTCACAGCCAGGAACCAGGCCCCGTCACAGCCAGGAACCAGGCCCCGTCACAGCGAGGAACCAGGCCCGTCACAGCCAGGAACCAGGCCCGTCACAGCGAGGAACCAGGCCCCTCACAGCGAGGAACCAGGCCCGTCACAGCGAGGAACCAGCCCCGTCACAGCGAGGAACCAGGCCCCGTCACAGCGAGGAACCAGGCCCGTCACAGCTAGGAACCAGGCCCCGTCACAGCGAGGAACCAGCCCCGTCACAGCGAGGAACCAGCCCCGTCACAGCGAGGAACCAGCCCCGTCACAGCGAGGAACCAGCCCCGTCACAGCGAGGAACCAGGCCCCTCACAGCGAGGAACCAGGCCCCTCACAGCGAGGAACCAGGCCCCTCACAGCGAGGAACCAGGCCCCTCACAGCGAGGAACCAGGCCCCGTCACAGCGAGGAACCAGGCCCATCACAGCCAGGAACCAGGCCCGTCACAGCGAGGAACCAGGCCCGTCACAGCCAGGAACCAGGCCCCGTCACAGCGAGGAACCAGGCCCGTCACAACCATGAACCAGACCCGTCACAGCGAGGAACCAGGCCCGTCACAGCCAGGAACCAGCCCCGTCACAGCGAGGAACCAGGCCCGTCACAGCGAGGAACCAGGCCCGTCACAGCGAGGAACCAGCCCCGTCACAGCGAGGAACCAGGCCCGTCACAGCGAGGAACCAGCCCCGTCACAGCGAGGAACCAGGCCCCGTCACAGCGAGGAACCAGCCCCGTCACAGCGAGGAACCAGGCCCGTCACAGCCATGAACCAGGCCCGTCACAGCCAGGAACCAGGCCCGTCACAGCCAGGAACCAGGCCCGTCACTGCCAGGAACCAGGCCCCGTCACTGCCAGGAACCAGGCCCCGTCACAGCGAGGAACCAGGCCCCGTCACACCAGGAACCAGGCCGGTCCCCACATGTACCTTGCAGTGGCGGTTCCACAGGCGCTGGGACTCGCACACTCGGTACAGGGCACGGCACGTGGTGGCGACGCGGAGGAGCGAGACGGGGTCCAGGAACTCCAGGATCGCCTCCAGAACTTCTGGGCTCAAGGTCTCCAGGGTTGTCATCGTCACGCCGCTCCGTAGCACCACTGCACACCAACACCTGATCCGACACCCCCCGCATCACCTTTAGCAAGACTGTTGGGGCAAGTACTGGCCAGGAGTAGCTATGAATTCCCCTTCAACAACAACAGGAATTCTCCACCAAGTGACGGTGACGTCCCCACGACGCCCGTGCCAGGCTAGGTGCACGTTAAGGCCACGTGGAGTGTCGAACGCCCGCTGGCAGGTCACGGAATAAACCCTGCAGGTGCCATGGGTGGTCGACTGAGATGACGGGTCGATGCAGCACCACCACCACAACCTGTGCCAACCTTCCTCGTACACACACCAATACTAACACCCCGCCATTCTACACTGACGGTGACGGTACCACGCGGCTGTGCCAGGCTAGGTGCACATTGAGGCCACGTGAAGTGTCGAAGGCTCGCTGACAGGAGATCTCGGAAACAGACCCAGCAGGTGCCATGGGTTGCCCGACTGAGATGACCGCAACACACAACAAAATGCCCCCTTGTAGCCTGAACAGACTATAGGGGGCAAGTGTTGTTAGCGAGCACCTATGAAGGCCGGCACGGCACACGAAGGGGTGGGTGACCAACACCACGCCCGACCGCCTTTGTCTCCCCACTGGCGATGTCTACACACCGTCCCAGGTACTCATTTGAGGCCGAGTCGATCTAGGGGAGGCCCAGGACCGGTTCAGATAATCGCGAGTGGGATTCGAACTTGGGACGCAGGGTTCGTAGCGCAGCGCGCTAACCACTCCCTAGAACATCAACAAACAACAACCACCATTCGCCACTAAGTTGCGATGAGGTCCCCACGGCGCTTGTGCCAGGCTAGGTGCACGTTCAGGCCACGGGGCAGGCCCAGGTGCCATGGGTCGACTGACCGAGATGGAGTGGCCGATGCACCACCTGTGCCCCACTACTGTGCCCATAACATCACCACAACCATCATCACACGCTACACCAACACCAGACCGTCACCCTACAACCCCACAACAGGCGACCTTCAGATCCCATCGCCCAGCCGCCGCCACTCAACACCTCCACCATCATCGCCACCCTCAACAAACCCCACCATCTCACACCCCACCACCATCACACAGCAGCATAACTGCACCACCATCACACAGCAGCATAACTACACCACCATCACACAGCAGAATAACTACACCACCATCACATAGCAGCATAACTACACCACCATCACACAGCAGCAAAACTACACCACACCGCCATCTCACACCCCTCCACCACAAATACACCCTACCACCATCAAACACCCCACCACCACAACTACACCCCACCGCCATCTGACACCCCACCGCCACAACTACACCGTACACCATCTCGCACACCACACCGCCATCTCACACCTCTCCACCACAACTACACCCTAGACCACACCGCCATCTCACACCCCATGCAGCACCACAACTACACCCTACACCATCTCACTCCCCACCGCCACAACTACCCCACACCGCCATCTTACACCCCATGCAGCACCACAACTACACCCTACACCATCTCAAACCCCATGCAGCACCACAACTACACCCTGGACCATCTCACACCCCACTGCCACAACTACACCACACCGCCATCTCACACCCCAGCACCACAACTACGCACCACAACTACACCCTACACCCTACCGCCATTACCCACGCCTGCAAAGCCACTCCAGCACGCGCCCCCCGACCAATCACGTGGGAGCTATTTATACTGTACACGGGGGGTGGGATGGGGGGAGGGGGAGGGGCACAGGTGACTCATTAGCATATATAAATTATACATTTATTAAAGATACATCTCATAACAATTATAGCCATTGTAGGATGAATATAATACGACATAAATCACACACGCCCATTCCGAAATTCAGATGCCTCGACAGCGGAATGTATACAATTAGTGACGAATATTAAATAAAAAAAACCGATGTTATAGATTAAATACAGTCCATGTTTAAAAAGAGCGTGTCTTTATTTCATCCTGATGCGTGGTGGATAAAGTCACCGCCTGGATTAGAGGGGAGGGGCGGGGTAGAGGGGATAGGAGGGAAGAGGGAATAGGAGGAGGGGCGGTATATGTCGTGGCAGAGTTGGAGGGAAGAGCCACACACCGGCACACACTCACAGAGGCTCACAGGAGCTTGAGACTCAGGGCCGTGACCATTGCCCCGAGCCGCCGTCTCAAGCTCGGCGTGGCTTTAAACCGGTTCGCTTGAGCCAAAGCCGTGACTCGGAACAAAGGAGGACCGTGAGTTCACAACAACAGCGAGGACGAGGAGGAGCTGACACGCTGCCCACGGCTGCATTGGAGCGATCGTATTTGGGGTTGGGTTCATTAGTTGACACCGAAGCTCTGGGTATGAAGCTCTGGGTTTGATGCTCTGGGTTTGATGCTCTGGGGTTGATGGTCTGGGTTTGATGCTCTGGGTTTGATGTTCTGGGTTTGATGCTGTGAGTTTGATGCTCTGGGTTGGATGCTCTGGGTTTGATGTTCAGGGGTTGATGTTCTGGGTTTAATGTTCTGAGTTTGAGGCTCTGGGTTTGATGTTTTGGGTTTGATGCTCTGAGTTTGATGCTGTGGGTTTGATGTTCTGGGTTTGATGCTCAGGGTTTGATGCTCAGGGTTTGATGCTCTGGGTTTGAAGCTCTGAGTTTGATGCTCTGAGTTTGATGTTCTGGGTTTGCTGCTGTGGGTTTGATGCTGTGGGTTTGATGCTCTGGGTTTGATGCTCTGGGTTTGATGCTGTGGGTTTGATGTTCTGGGTTTAATGTTCTGGGTTTGATGCTCAGGGTTTGATGCTCTGGGTTTGAAGCTCTGAGTTTGATGCTCTGAGTTTGATGTTCTGGGTTTGATGCTCTGGGCTGGATGCTCTGGGTTTGATGCTCTGGGTTTGATGCTCTGGGTTTGATGCTCTGGGTTTGATGCTCTGAGTTTGAAGCTCAGGGGTTGATGCTCTGGGTTTGATGCTCTGCGTTTGATGCTCTGGGTTTGATGCTCTGGGTTTGATGCTCTGGGTTTGATGTTCTGGGTTTTATGCTGTGGGTTTGATGCTCTGGGTTTGATGTTCTGGGTTTGATGCTCTGGGTTTGATGTTCTGGGTTTGAAGCTGTGGGTGTGATGCTCTGGGTTGGATGCTCTGGGTTTGATGCTCTGGGTTTGATGTTCTGGGGTTGATGTTCTCGGTTTAATGTTCTGGGTTTGATGTTCTGGGTTTGATGCTCTGGGTTTGATGCTGTGGGTTTGATGTTGTGGGTTTGATGCTCTGGGTTTGATGCTGTTGGTTTGATGCTCTGGGTTTGATGCTGTGGGCATGATGCTTTGGGTTTGAAGCTCTGGGGTTGATGCTGTGGGTTTGATGCTCAGAGTTTTTGCGTTTATCTCAACGCTGTTGCTCCGTGCTCATTTTGGAAGCCTACAGCCCCTGCTGTCAATCCACTGCTGGATGAGGGGCTCGCCGCCCCCCCCCCTCCACGCCGTACGGATCGTGGGAGTACATTTAACCATACTTCACCACGCTGGTTTCATTGCGGCCCTGGCATTGTTTTACAATGGCGTCATTACTGATCGGCAATATAACATCGAGTTATCATCTTCGTATGGCTGTGATGGTGCCTCCTTCGAATACAGAGCCCGATGTGAGTCTAGGGGTCTCCATGTGGGTTCATAGGTCTCAACGTGACTCTCAATATCTACGTGAGTCTCGGGGCACGTTTGGTTTACGTGACAAACCTTGCTAATTGTTTGTGTCGGGTGGCGGTGGGTTAACGACACAGCAATTATATTTACGCGATAAAACCCAAAACCCTTTACCCTGCAGGCTGTTTATTTCATGCTTTCCATAGACGGATCTACGGATGAAATGCATGCCTTACAAATGTAGATTAATATGTATTATTATTATCACTTGCTCGTAACTGCCAACCCCTTATCGGTGCCTATCTTATTACAAATCAATTCAGACCTTATTGATCACCCCGTGCCCCTTATAAATCTCAACGTTCATTCTACAGAGTCCCATCACAAGGGAGAAACACAAACAAAGACAAAAAAAATGTTTTGCCGTATGGCCCTGACAACTCAATTTCCCTGTAGAAGTCTACGGGGTACAGCGTGATGGGTTGACAGGCATGCTACTATACATTACACTATACACTACACTATACACTACTTACAGTGAGGGAAAAAAAGTATTTGATCCCCTGCTGATTTTGTACGGGTGCCCACTGACAAAAGAAATGATCAGTCTATTATTTTAATGGTAGGTTTATTTGAACGGTGATAGACAGAATAACAACAAAAAAATCCAGAAAAACGCATGTGAAAAATGTTATAAATTGATTTGCATTTTAATGAGGGAAATAAGTATTTGACCCCCTCTCAATCAGAAAGATTTCTGGTTCCCAGGTTTCTTTTATACAGGTAACGAGCTGAGATTAGGAGCACACTCTTAAAGGGAGTGCTCCTAATCTCAGCTTGTTGCCTGTATAAAAGACACCTGTTCACAAAAGCAATCAATCAGAAGCAATCAATCAATCGGATTCCAAACTCTCCACCATGGCCAAGATCAAAGAGCTCTCCAAGGATGTCAGGGACAAGATTGAAGACCTACACAAGGCTGGAATTGGCTACAAGACCATTGCCAAGCAGCTTGGTGAGTAGGTGACAACAGTTGGTGCGATTATTCGCAAATGGAAGAAACACAAAAGAACTGCCAATCTCCCTCGGCCTGGGGCTCCATGCAAGATCTAACCTCGTGGAGTTGCAATGATCATGAGAACGGTGAGGAATCAGCTCAGAAGTACACGGTAGGATCTTGTCAATGATCTCAAGGCAGCTGGGACCATAGTCACCAAGAAAACAATTGGTAACACACTACACCGTGAAGGACTGAAATCCTGCAGCGCCTGCAAGGTCCCCCTGCTCAAGAAAGCACATATACATGCCCGTCTGAAGTTTGCAAATGAACATCTGAAGATTCAGAGGACAACTGGGTGAAAGTGTTGTGGTCAGAAGAGACCAAAATGGAGCTCTTTGGCATCAACTCAACTCGCCGTGTTTGGAGGAGGAATGTTGCCTATGACCCCAAGAACACCATCCCCACCGTAAAACATGGAGGTGGAAACATTATGCTTTGGGGGTGTTTTTCTGCTAAGGGGACAGGACAACTTCACCGCATCAAAGGGACGATGGGCCATGTACCGTCAAATCTTGGGTGAGAACCTCCTTCCCTCAGCCAGGGCATTGAAAATGGGTCGTGGATGGGTATTCCAGCATGACAATGACCCAAAACACACGGCCAAGGCAACAAAGGAGTGGCTCAAGAAGAAGCACATTAAGGTCCTGGAGTGGCCTAGCCAGTCTCCAGACCTTAATTCCATAGAAAAATCTGTGGAGGGAGCTGAAGGTTCGAGTTGCCAAACGTCAGCGTCGAAACCTTAATGACTTGGAGAAGATCTGCAAAGAGGAGTGGGACAAAATCCCTTCTGAGATGTGTGCAAACCTGGTGGCCAACTACAAGAAACGTCTAACCTCTGTGATTGCCAACAAGGGTTTTGCCCCCAAGTACTAAGTCATGTTTCGCAGAGGGGTCAAATACTTATTTCCCTCATTAAAATTCACATCAATTTATAACATTTTTGACATGCGTTTTTCTGGATTTTTTTGTTGTTATTCTGTCTCTCACTGTTCAAATAAACCTACCATAAAAAATTTAGACTGATCATTTCTTTGTCAGTGGGCAAACGTGCAAAATCAGCAGGGGATCAAATACTTTTTTCCTCACTGTACATACCTGTCAACCCATTATCAGTGCCTACCTTATTCTAGACCAATTCAGACCTCATTGGTCACCACGTGCCCGTTATAAACCTCACCGTTCAGCCAAGAAAGTCCCATCACAAGGGAGAAACGAAAACAGATAGACAAAACATTTTTCCCCGTATTTTTAAACGGCTGTATGCCGTATGGACCTGAACACTACATTTCCCTGTACAAGAATACGGGGTAAACCGTGATGGTTTGACACGGTGTGCTTGCTCGCGAAAGGGGCATTGACGACGAGAGAGATTGCATCAACTCTACTCGACCCCCGCACACGCCGGTCAGACGCGTTGGAACACGTGGGGCGTACACACACTTTACCACACAACGACGGCCGGTCGACCGCAAACCCTGGAGTGCAATCGTTGTCCTGGTGGACGCTCCTTTGGGGCCGTCCATAAATGACGTCACGCGATTTTGGACGATTTTTGAACCCCCCCCCCCCCTTCGTCACACGGCGTCACAAAAAGTCAGACCCCCCCCTAAAATATGACGTCACAAAGCTCTGCCCCCCCCCCTCAAAACCATATTTCCATTTTGAAAAGAAAACATGCTTCAAATCACTTTAAACTATTGTCATTGTAGTGCGTATTTAACGTGGCGCTGCACACTGACGTTGTAGGAGAGAACATTTACTAAAAAGTCTATTTAATTAAGTAGAACGTGTTGTCTATTTATTTAAAGTTGCGCATTTTGATGTGACGTCACATTTCTCAAACCCCCCCTCCCTCGTCACATATCGTCACAAATGTCTGCCCCCCCCCTAGGTGCGTGACGTCATTTATGGACGGCCCCTTTTTTACGTGCAATAGTCACCCCCGCGACCCCGCCGTGATCGGTCTGAATATCAATCCTCCTGAGCCGTCTCACGCCACGGTTAATTTATTGTGTAACACCAATTTTCGC